GATAAACACCCATCTATCTCCAAAGCCTTAAGGGCATAATCATGTACAGGAGTGTTGGGTTAGACAACAAGGTAAGCTCTTAGCAGCCACACAGATTTAACCCAGTTTTATCAATAATCAGTAACTCTGATGGGGGAGAATTCTAGCTGGTCATGCTTTAAACATAAAGCTTACTGATCTCAGCATCCACAGCCCAACCTAGATATATTATTCTCAATTTGTGCCAACCCAATAAAAATCATGCAGTGATATAAATTTTTGTTACCTGTTTTAAAAAAAAAAAACCCATAATCCTCAAAAGAGAGGGAGTGATGAAAGAATGTGAAAGAATCTAAAATAGTCATGGATCTTAGAGTATAAAACATTTTATGGGGGAAATAATTTGTGAATGTGGTGTTCATAAATTTGAATATTTACAACATCTTGAGATGTTCCTCTCTTGAGGGACTAGTCTATTATAAATCTAGGAATTTATAATAATCATTTAATTATACCACAAGTAAACTGTTTATGAGACTGAAAATATAAGAAACCAGACATAACCAATTCAGTCACCAAGTCAGCACAGAGAACTAGTCACAATAGAAATGTGTTCTGAGGAAACCACATAGAGATGGAATCTCAAGTCAGCCTCCATTCAGCACTGACTTGATTTATACTCACACCACAGCATTTTGAAACCTTGTCTGTTAATGCAGATGAAGAGAATGGATTTGAAGTGCTTTTCACCCAAGAAGACTGTTATACACTTTGACATATTTTCAGCTGCTTCCACAGAACAATATCTAGGGGCTGGGTAGAGCACTTACCTCTCCTGGGTGAGGCACTGAGTTGGATTCTCAGCACTGCATATAAGTAAATAAAATAAAGGTCCATCGGCAACTCAAAAATATTTTTTTAAAAAACATTTTTTAAGCAAAAGGAAAGGACAGCATGAACTCCTTATATACAAACCAACAAGGCTTATTTTCTTTGGCTTGAGTGGTTATTGGATGTCTTATCTTTATTGTGTATTACCAAAAGAGCAACTGTCTTTAGATATCAGATGAGTATGGCTATATCAAGTTCAATGGAAAGTAACCATTCTGACAGGTTCTACAGAATTACAACTGAAGATAATGAGTAGAGAAATTCTTTGGAGAATTGAGAACATTTCATTCCTCTCTGGAGATCAGCCATAGCGGGCCAATATAAACCTTTCTGTGTACGGTACCCATCTGGTCTTTATAGACAGGCACTAAACTTCCCATAAGCAGTGTCATCCATCTGGCTTTTATGAATGTGTGATGTACTTGGTTCAATTCAAATGATAACATCTGTCTCTATAGATAAACCAAAGATAAACTATAAGAATGTATCCACATACATTGGGTGACCTGGATGCTAAAGGTGATTGGTGATTGGCACCTCTCCTATCTTTTAATCTTCACAAAAGCGTCAGAAAATACATATTATTTAGTGGCTGTGTGTGTGTGTGTGTGTGCATGGGTAAAAAAAAAATCTTTATGATTTTTTTCACCTAATGACTGATGTCTCAACTGCTTCTAGTTAAATACAATTTTTCAAAAAAAAAAAACTGAAATAAGAAGAGGTTAATCTTCCAAAGTCTATGTTAATCATTTCCGGAAATACACAATCTTGAAGAACCTGCTTGGCATGTGATACTGAGAGTTCTCTTCATCAGCTCGTATTCTACACACACTGTCAAGAAGCTAAATCTCTTCAAATTTTATGCCTGAACACTTGAACAATTTATCAAAGAACATGCTCATTTCCAGAGCAAGAAATGATTAGTCATATTAAATATTCAAGACATTGAATGAAACAGAACTCTTTAGAATTTATAAAGTAAACACACAAGAATGAGTTCTTATCTTTCCAATACTTTAACTACAGGACATCAGGGATTTCACTGGATATGATATGCAGTGTTTGTTTTGGTAACTAAACCAAAGGTTTTGCACTTACTAAGCTACCACAGCGTTATGTAAGATTAACCATTGGTTAGGGCATTGAATCGGATTCTTGTGCAACCCTCTTGAGTCAGTGCCCGACTCTGCCTTCTCTCTGCCCAACCTTCACCTAAAATAGACTCAACTCAGTAGCCAAGAGTTTCCCCATATGAAAACACACTGACCCTAAATACTAAAATGAACCATTAGTAACAACAAACAGAAAACGGGATCTGATGCACAACCTAGATGCCTCTCCAGCCCTCTAACCAAGGAGAGTTGCTTTGTAAGTACGGATATGAATGGCAGGCTTCACTCCCTGAGTTTCTCCTCCAAGGTGGAAAGAAAATCAAGATGCAGGTTGCTTGCACAATCCTGATTATGACTGGAGGAGATGCTGTATGCCTAGACAATTACCTTTTTCATACTTTTTAGAATGACTTATCTCCTCCCAGCTATTTATGTTATTTAAAATAATACCCATGTCTAGCTATTATACTCCTAGATCTCTCAGAAACAATTCTAGTAACTAAAAAGA